AAAAAGCAAGACCCTGTAAGAACATTTAAAGAAAAACAAGACCCTGTGTCCAAAAATTATTTGCCAGGCCCTCACTATGTGTCAGGTACCATGCCAGACACTAGAGGGCAGACAATAATGAGGAAGTCCCTATCCCTATGGAGTTTTTGTTTTCTTCCCAGAGTTTTGCTCTTGTTGCCCAGGCTGGAGTGCAATGGCACAATCTTGGCTCACTGCAACCTCCGCCTTCCGGGTTCAAGTGATTCTCCTGCCTCAGCCTCCCAAGTAGCTAGGATTACAGGCATGTACCACAAATTTTTTGTGTTTTTAGTAAAAATGCGGTTTCTCCATGTTGGCCAGGCCAGTCTCAAACTCCCCACCTCAGGTGATCCGCCCATCTCAGCCTCCCAAAGTGCTGGGATTACAGGTGTGAGCCACCAGCCCTGTCCCCCATGGAGTTTATATAGAAAAAAAACACAAGAAAACTCACTTATGACAATAAAATATAATGAAATGCTATGAAAGAGATACCTATTACCATTCAGCAAACAGTGATGAAGCATCAGTTATGGGTCAAGCACTATGCTAAGCACTGGTAGAAAGAGAGGATATGAATTGTCCCTCACCATGAGAATTTTACAAGTTAGGACACACACAAGGCTTGACAGAGAAAGGCCAGGTGGTGGGCTCCCAGATGTCATTCATTTAGAAACTTTTTTGCTCTCTTCCAACTTCTGCCTACTGCCTGTAATTTTTGTATTTTTTGAGATGGAGTTTCGTTCTTGTTACCAAGGCTAGAGTGCAATGGCGCGATCTCAGGTCACCGCAACCTCTGCCTCCTGGGTTCAAGCAATTCTCCTGCCTCAGCCTCCTGAGTAGCTGGGACTACAGGCACGCGCCACCATGCCCAGCTAATTTTTAATAGAGATGGGGTTTCACCTTGTTGACCAGGATGGTCTCGATCTCTTGACCTCGTGATCCACCCGCCTTGGCCTACCAAAGTGCTAGGATTATAGGCATGAGCCACCGCGCCCAGCCTATAATTTTTATACTACAGGACTCAGAGGAGTGGACCAATGCAGCCTCAACTTTTTTTTTTTTTTTTGGAGACAAGGTCTCTCTCTCTCTCTCTCGCCCAGGATGGAATGCAGTAGCACAATCACAACTCACTGCAGCCTTGACCTCCTGGACTAAAGTGATCCTCCCACCTCAGCCTCCTGAGTAATTGGGACCACAGGTACACACCACCACATCTGGCTAATTTTTGTGTTTTTTTTTGTAGAGACAGGGTCTCCATAGAGACCAGTCTCCTGCTCGTCTCTAACTCTTGAGCTCAAGCTATCCTGCATTAGGCTCCCAAAGTGCTGAGATTACAGGTGTAATCCCACTGTACCAGCTAGTGAGCTATCGATCTTGACCCAACTCCCAAGTACCACCTATGTGGGGAGTCCTGCTTTTTTTTTTTTTTTTTTTGAGACAAAGTCTCACTCTGTCACCCAGGCTGGAGTACAGTGGCATGATCTCAGCTCACTGCAACCTCTGCCTCCCATGTTCGAGCAATTCTGTCTCAGTCTCTAAGTATCTGGGATTACAGGCATGTGCCACCAAGTCCGGCTAATTTTTATACTTTTAGTAGAGACAGGGTTTCACCATGTTGGCCAGGCTGGTCTCAAACTCCTGACCTCAGGTGATCTACCCTCCTTGGCCTCCCAAAGTGCTGCGAGTACAGGTGTGCACCACTGCAGCTGGCCTGTGGGTAGTCCTGCTTTCTTGCCCTGTCCGTTCATTCACCTGATATATACGGCCTCCTCTGAGGACGGGTGCCAGCCCAATCATAGGTTCACAGTTTTTCAGTGCTTGGTGGAAGATGGTGTAGGGGTTCCGTTCAATGGTTGCCTGTTCTTCTGCAGAAGCGGCATGGTACTTCTCAAACTGCTTCCTTTTCACAGCTTCCAGAGTCTGCAAAGGAATACAGTGGAAGAGGCTGCCCCAGGCTCCCTAAAGGGTTTACCTAGCCAAGCTAGTACCTTGTCCTTTACTCCCATCCTCTGGTCCTGCTATGGCAAAGCAACTCCTCTCACAGCACATCCAAAACGAAGTTTAAGTGCCTCTCCCTTTGCTAGACTAGGACAAAAAGAGTGGACTGAGATTTGTGGCATGGGAGGTGGGGTGGCGAATGGCAGTTGTTCT